CACAAAACATACCAGAAGCCTCACCGAACATCTCCTTGCTACCACGATCTCGCCCACAGGAAGCCGCGACCGCGTGGCAGCAGCGCAAATGGCCGCGGATCCGGTTCGTATCTCGAGGCGGAGTTCGCATGTCGAGGTAAATTTTGGGGGCTGGAGCTGGTCGTATCTCGAAAAATTCGTAAGGAGGGGCGTTCGTAACTAGAGGTACCACTGTATTTCTTACATTTCATTTTTCATATCTTTTTTTCTTTTACTTTATCTCACCTTTTCTTTTCCTTTTTATAATTTGTATTTTCAATTTTCTTTTCCATTTCTAACTTTTAACTTTGTAATTTTAAAACCCAATAAAATATTAAATATCTATCTATATATCTATATCTATCTATCTTACATTTCAACCTTCTTAAGTTACCAGCAGATAACAGTATGTTAGTCTGATCTAGTGAGGTCACTTAATGTTTTGTTGATGCAACTAGTTAAGTGACATTAAGAATCTGATAGTATTTTAAAAAGCACTTAAAAAATATTTTCAACATTAGTTGAAGGGTTTCTTTAGAATGTATATGCCACCTTGAGCTCCCAAACGAAATGCAGGATATAAACTTAATAAATGATAAATAAGCCTAATTCATCATAAATGATCATATGGATAGTAAACACTGGCTGATTTCTTCTACCATCAATGGTTTTAGCATTACATCCAAACTAGGATTCTGGGCTTGCTGCTCTCCAAAACAGAACAACATCTGAAGCTAACAAACCAAAGCACCTAGCTTTGGGGCAGCATTACAATAATGAATATACCCTAGTATTTTTAACTTCTGCTGGCAGAAGAAACTAAGAAACAGCAATTCCAGAACACCCACTTGAATGCTTGCTAAATTCCCAGGATCTAGTCAGAAGAAATTTCAGTTACTGTTTTGTTCAAAGCAAGCTATAGGCTAGAAATTAAATGCACAACTTTAAGCCTGACAGCTTTGAAGATCTGAATATATTTCATTATTTCATACGAGCCATTGCCATTGGCAAAAGATACTCACCTTGACAAAGTTCAGGAACATCTAACCACTGATTAGTGTCAAGACAGCTAATAATACGAGCTTTTCCAGGTATATATTCATAACCTGTGATGCACTCTAACTGCAGACGAGTTCCAACAGGATAGGTATCTGCTAGGCCTTCTCCTCCTTTTAATGAAGAATGGTTGGGTAGACTTGGAGTTGGGCACTCACCTGTACATAAGCAAAAATGAGGAAGCTTTAAGTAGAGAACAGAGATAAAGGGTCTGTTACAATACTGAAGTCTAACCATTCACAAAGTCTTGAGCCACTGGGGCTTATGCCAAAGAATTTGACAAAGTTTCAGCCCAGAAATGTAGGAGCAAAGTCAGGAAGGCAAAGGCAAAAAATGAGCTAAGAGTAGCAAGAGGGCCATAATCCACCAAGAAATTTTTCTTCAAATACATCAAGAGCGAGAAGATAAGAGGTGGCAGACTCACTGCTTACTTGGGATGCAGAAATTTTAACAGATGACCAAGGAAAAAGCAGAGGAACTCAAGTTCTATTTTACCTCTGAAATGGCGACTGGAGTGGTATAGACTGGAAACAAATGCAATAGGCGCAGGTCAGTAAGGATGTAGTAAACAAACTTCTACCTAATTTAAATGCCTTCAAGTCCCAATGCCTTAATGAAATACACTCTAGAGTTCTGAAGGAACTGGAAGAAGAACTTTAAAGATCTCTATCAATTATCTTTGTTCATTCCTGGAAAACTGGGGACTGTAGTTCCTTTCTTCAAGAAAGAAAGAAAAAAAGATCTCAATTATTGACTAGTGAGCTTAACATTAATCTCTGGAAAGATATTAGAATAGGTAATAAAGCAGGCCATTTGCAAAGATCTTAAAGACAATACTGTGATCTCTAAAAGCCAACATAGCTTTGCCAAAAATAATTCATGTAAGACAGTGCTGTCTCCTCTGACAGAGTAACTATTCCACTGACCAAGAGGAATGCTGCAGATATAAGCTACCATGATTTCAGTCAAGTTTTGACAAGGTCCCAATGTTCTACAGGACATCCACATTGACAAGTTGTTAGTGTAGTTTGGATGGCACTCCGGTAAAGTAGTGGTTGGCTAACCACACCAGAGAGTCAGCATTAATGGCTGTCTATCAAGTTGGAGAGCAGTAACTAGGGGAATTTCACAGAGATCAGCCTTGGAACCAGTATAATTTAACATTTTTGTTAATGATCTGGGTAGCTATCAAATTTGTGAATGACACAAAACTGGAAGTTCTAGCCAACACCCAGGATGAAAGCATTTGATTGCAGTGTAGCCTGGAAGATAGGGCTGAAAGGAAAAAGATATCCTTTAACAGGGAAAAATGTGAAGTATTACATTTATGGAGAAAAAAAAATGTAAGACAAACATACAAGATGGTGGACTCATGGCATGAAACACTACATCTGGAAAGGATTTAGATGCGGTCACTGACAAGAAGCTGACCATGAGTCAGTAGTGTGAAACAGCTGTTAGAAAGATTAATACAATTCTGGACTGCATTAGAAGAAGCACTGTTTTAAAAACACATGAAATCATTATTCCTGTGTATTTGGCACTGGCAAGACCACACTTGGAGTACTGTATATAATTCTGGATCCTACATTAGCAGGATATTGACAGGTTAGAACTGGTTCAGAGAATGGTAACAAAGATGATAAAGGAACTTGGAGATATACCCTTGAGGAGAGGTTGAAGGAATTTGGCATGGTCAGTCTGAACAAGACTTAGAGGATACATGAGCTATTCTCAGGTACATAAAGGGAAACTACAGGGAAGATAGAAACTATTTTCCATGGCTACAGAAATCAGGATCAGAAATAACAAGTGTAAGTTGCAGCTACCTGGATTCCATTTAAATAAATAAATAAATATCTCCTGAAGATGACCTGTATAACAGTGGAATAGTTTATCTGTGAAGGTTGTGGGTTCTCCATTTCTGGAAGTTTTAAGAAGAGGTTCTCCTGGATAGTTTCAATAGTTTTCCTGTACTTTGCAGGAGGTCAGACTAGATGATCTTTGTGGTTCCTTCCAAACGTACAATTTTCTTATTTTATTCTTCACTGCACAAAGGAACACTCCCTTTTTTACAGGGAAACATTAAAGACTTTGAACTATCTTTCAAGGCAGCATCCTAGAACACTGTTTTCTTTTTAACATAGCTATTATATCTTTGGGCTTTGCTTCTGCTGTACAACAGTCTGTGTGACCATACCTCTATGCAGTGACTTAAATAATCCCTAAATAAACACATAAATAATTTCCTCTGGACCTTGGTTTCTGAGTCCAGGTTTTCTGTTCTGAAACAGAACTTCACTCCTTGGCTTTCAATTCATGTTTGATTGGTGTTTGGTTTCTGTAACTCAAGAAACCGACTCTTAGAGAAAAGGTCAAGTGAACAGGTCAAGAACGGAGAAACCAACTTCTTCCCGTTATAGTTATATTTGTTTGAGAAAGAACAAATATCAACAAAACAACCGTGATGTACTTGAAGGAACACTTGCACTTGAATAAAGCCTTGGTTCCCATCACGAGCAGTAACTACAAGTTATTAAAGAGCCTCAGTTACGGCAAGCACTCAACTACCTCTGCATTCCTCAAAGACGGATGTGGCTGAGAGCCCTACTGCTTCTGAAACCCGTAGTCAAGCAAACGAAGGATCCCCGGGGAAGGGTGAAGGGGCGGAGAATCCACGGCGACCGAACCGCCGCTTCCTAAGCGGCCACCGGCAGGGCAAGAATCGGCGAATGGGCGTTCCCTTCTCCCACACACACACCCGTGACACCCTGATGGCAGAGGGTCCGCGGCGACAGGCTACGGCGGGCATCGTTCTTCCTCCCTCGACGCTGCAATACGCAGCTGGAGCAGCAGCTCTGCGTAGCGAGGGGCCTTCTCGCTCTCTCGGGGATGGGCCACAAAGCAGCAAAAGAGCGCGGCTCCCCGGAGCATGGGCAAAACGACTTCCCGCATTGTCGAGTGAATCTCGATTAGCTCCCCTCTAAACAATAATTAAGCCCCCCCTCCATTTTAGAGCACGAACTTTAGCAGGCACCTAGAGGCATTTCTTACTCACACAAAGCAGTAGATGAGAGGAACAGCAGGACCAAGGCCGCCGAAAGGACCTCATTGGAACAAGAAGGAAAAAGGCCCATCGTAACAGCTGAAGGGAGTCGGAGAAACGCTTCCCGAGCTTAAAGACAAAAAAGGGCGGTGCTCCAGAATATTACCGCACGTCAAAACGTGAACCACCACTTCTCTGGTAAATGGGTGTGAGCAGCGTTGTCTTTATAGCCTGACGTTCATACGTCATAACAAACAGGAAGGAAGTTTCTAAGGCGGTGGCACGCCGCTCCGGCAGTCAAGTGTAACGTTGAAAAGGGAACTTTGTGTTTCCGTGGCCACAACAGGAGGCAGCAGCGGGGTGGGCAGGGATTTGGCATCGCGCGTAAAAGGAGTTTTGCAGAAACTTACAACTGTTAACTTGGAAGGAAAAAAAACCCGCGGAGATTATAGGGATAGATCCGCGCTAGAAAGCAGGTCTTTTGACTCAACTAATCTTTCCCATCTTGCTGTCAGCTGCGTTAAGCTTCAGTTCTCATAAATCTGGGTAGCATGGCTGTCGTCTGCATCTTCGACTGTAAAGATTCTGGGAACTGAAAACCAACTCGGCTGCAGTGTCCAAGTGGGAAAGGTTTGTTTCCCACTTGGATACTGTGCTTACAGTTGTTGTGGTATCCTCACTGAATGCTTTTTATCAGGCTATTGACCAGTTGGGTGTAGTGGTTAAGGCACCAGGCAGTAGAGGGCCATGAGTTCTAGTCCTGCCTTAGGCACAAGACAGCTGGGTGACCTTGGGCCAGTCACTCTCTCTCAGCCCTAGGAAGAAGGAAATGGCAAGCGACTTCCAAAATCTTGCCAAGAAAACTGCAGGAGTCAAGGCACAATCATCATTACTGACACCTGAGTGTACATGGGGTGTGTCTCAAAGTTTGTGAGACTGCAGTGGGTGGGTATGGGGGAGTGATAGGTGTGTGTAGTAAGTGCTGTGACTTAGAATCTTATGGCAGGATGTTACATGGGGATTTGAAGATTAGATTATAAACGTAATGGGATATGTTTTGACAAAGAATTATTCCTATTTAATGCATTAAAAATTAGCACTTATGACACTCTTACTATTCTCAAGATCAGAGATAGATTGGAAGCTATATATTTTTCATGCCTTTCTTCTTTTCTTTTACTTTATCTCACGTTTTCTTTTCCTTTTTCCTATAATTTGTATTTTTCATTTTCTTTTTCATTTCTGACTTTTAACCTTGTAATTTTAAAATTTCAATAAAATAATTTTTCATGCCTTTCTTCTTTTCTTTTACTTTATCTCACGTTTTCTTTTCCTTTTTCCTATAATTTGTATTTTTCATTTTCTTTTTCATTTCTGACTTTTAACCTTGTAATTTTAAAATTTCAATAAAATATTATTATGGAATCTTATGGCAGGATGCAAAATTGACATTGGTCACAGCATGGGTGTTGTCATTTTGGCATTATTTATTTTTCTTACATGTGTTGCTGAATATTGGGACCCCCTAAAACGATAAATGAATTTCTGTAATTTTCCCATGAATAAAACTCAGGCTACCATACCTAGTTCACAAACATTTGGGTGGCAGCAAAGAAGAACTGAAAACTCTTCTGGACTGGCCTACTATAAATGAAATTATAGAGTAAGAACTTAAAAAACAACTTTGTAGAATGCAGTAGAGTCCAATGTTGTGTTTGCAGCTAGCTAGGTAGATCTGCAGTGTTCACAAGAATTTTGGGGGCAGATAAATGATAAGAGAATGTATATCTTTGGTAACTAATCTTCACATCTATATTACTGTCTCTCTACATGAAACATTTTAACAAGCATATTGATAGACCTATCCTCTATAAACTTGGCCTCATTTAAAAATCCACGGAAGTTAATGGCCCCTTGCTGTCTTCTGCAGCAGTGATTTCCTGAAGTCTGTTCTATTTGGGATGAAATGATTCTTTTTGGTTGCCCTGAATACATACACACACACACATTTGGTGCCATCTATCTATCCACATACACATATGTATATGTGTGTGTGTGTGTATATACACACACACGCAAGTAGCTGGATAGTATAATGGTTAGAGCACTGCCCTTTGATGCGGAAGACCAGGGTTCGAATCCTAGCTGGTACCTACTTTACCAGTAGGGGTCCTTGGGCAACCCCCCCCCCCAACACTTCACCTGCCTACCTCAGAGTCATGCTGGCTTGGATGTTGCCTGGATTAATAAGGTCTGTGCCAGATATTGGGGAACCAGGACAATCTGACAATAAGTGGGCTGTAGGAAGAAACCATACATGGACAAGAGAACTTGGAATTGATGGATTGCTACTACAACAGTAATCCTAATGAGAAGGGATATATGAAATATATGAGGGAACTATGGAAGGACAGAAAACCTACTTCCACACTAACCAAGAAACATCTAGTTACCCAATGCTTCAACATAGTGAAGAGGAAGCTGCTCTCATAACTTGAGATAGACCAATTACACCATCTTGGGCTCAAGAAGACCCAGAAGAACAACAAATGTCCAACACCTGAAGCTGAAACGTCACTGCCACACCCTCCATTACAGAGCACAGCAGCTGATATGAGGCATAAGATCATGAATGAACTAGCCACAGTTAACCCTTGAGACTGATTATCAAGGCTCAGTGGAGAAGTACCATCAGATAGTATGTAGAAGATGCCAGTAGAGCCCTCATGACAATCCCTACTACCACCATACTTAAACCAATAAACTGGTATATGCTACAACTAGTGTAATCCTGGAGATACTTGGCTATTATACACAATCAAGAAAAACAGTAGTACATACCCCACACTGGGAAATGAGGTTGGAGGCTAAGATTAAGGCAACTCGGAGAGAAGTTAGTCAGCTAGCTGGACTACAGAAGGGTGTGGAGATTAAGGATAAGACTCAGCTACTGAAAAATTACACTCCATATGAAGCCCTAGAGACTGCTAAACAAAGGCTCACAGCACTGGCTACCAGGCTAAGGAATTACGCTAGAGAAGCAGAGGCCAAGAAGATGAATGCCCTGTAAAAGCAGATGCTCAGTGCAGCGTGAGCTCAGAAAGGCCAGGGAATGAGGGCATGGGGTGCATGTGATCACAGGGAGGCTGGGGAAAGAGGATGTGGGGTGTGTATGTGAAAGTGCAGGAAGGCTAAGGAAAGAAGATGTGGCGTATGTGCGTGCGATTGCAGGGAGCCCAGGGAAAGAGGGCAGGGGTATGTGCATGCATGCAGTCACAAGGAAGCCAAAGAAAAAGGGGGCGGGGTGTGTGTAATCGCAGGGAGGCCATGGAAAGAGCATGGGGTGCATGTATGAGTGTGTGATCACAAGGAGGCCATGGAAAGAAGTGTGTGTGCATGTGTGCAATTACAGGGAGGCCAAGGAAAGAGAGCATGGGATGGGTGTAATCACAGGAAGGCCATGGAAAAAGGGTGTGGGGTACATGCATGTGTGTGTGTGTGCACGCATGCACGATTGCAGAGAGGTCAAGGAAAGAGGGCACAGGGGTGCATGCATGCACTCACAGGGAGGCTGTGGAAAGACGGCACAGGTGCGTGTGTGCAAGTGCAGAGAGGCAGGGAAAGAGGGCGTGGAGTACATGACCATGGGATGCTGTAACTGGTTGTAAGTGCCAGCTTATTCCTAGCACCTGAATTCTGTTCACATGACCGTGGGGGCACTGCAACAGCCGAAAGTTCAAGGACCAGTCATAAGTCCCTTTGTTCAGCACTGTCATAACTTTGAACAGTCGCTGACTGAATGGTCGTAACTTGAGGACTACCTATATGACACAATGTGAATAAGGCTGAGATTTTATGAGAAGCTGGTCCCTGGCTTGGAAGTTATACAATTTATTTATCCTGGAGAGGATAGCATTCCACTAGCAAGAATAGTAATCAGTCTAGAGATTATTGTGGATTTACTCTTGTTACTGGATGTCCTACAGAATTCACTGGATAGAACAGTCTATTAGCAATTTTGGCTTGTACAACAACCCCAGCCTTTCCTGACAGGAATAGTTTTGCATAGCTTGTTGGTGAAATTAGGGGATTTCCTTTGAGAGTAATTTAAAAGCTGCAAATAGCATAGAATTCTGCATATCTCCAGTTCTGAAGGATCTGCACTAACTCATTTAGCCATTCAGTCATTTTTAATACACTATTGTTGATTTTTCTGGTTCTAAACAGCTTTGGACTAAGATCTGGATAACTGCCTATAACCTGTACCATACTGTTGATATTGATTAATTGTAGTGCAGAGGTGGGCATTCTCAATTATGGCATTCACCATATGGAATAAACTGCTGTTAGGTAGGCCCCCATTGTGGAGTGTGTCTGCTATATATTAAAAGCTTATCTGTTTGCCCAGGAATTTCATTTTTTTTCTTTCCTGTTTATCTTTTGGTTAGCTGCCCTAAAATTTATTAATTAATAGTTTTATAATTTATACCTTATTGCATTTATTATATAATGCTTTTAGTCAGACTGCTTTTTAAATTTAAAAAAATAAAATGATTTTTAAACACACACAAGTAGGTCAGCTAGATTTGAAACAAATTTCAAATCTCTCCCCGCCTTTCTCCTTTTTAAGACTACAGAAAGAAAGACGACAAAATTGTTAAATATCTATTGACTTTTCAATTCAATTTTGTAATTTTTACACTTATGCGCTCTGCATGAATTGAGGAAGGCTGACTAAAACTAAAGAAATCCAATTTATTCCTAGTAAACACCTCAAAGACAAAAGCTGGTGAACATATAAAATCCTCTTGCATCCAGGATAATCTTGGGAGAAGGCTACATTAATATTTTGTAAGGGGAAGTCAGATTATTTAACCCATGGAAGAAAATGTGCAGTCAAACTCTCCATTGAGTCATCTATGCTTGAGTAATGCAATGCATGATGACATTTAAAATAAATTTAGCTTATGAACAATCATCAGCAGTTGGACTTCAGGAAAACTGATACCAAGCATGTAATTTCCTGCAGTGTGGTATAAAACAAACACTAATTCTGTTCCATAGATAGCATTTAAAAAAAAAAAGATTTGTTCTTTCTGAATAGGGCTGGACATTATATTGTTGTAACTAAAAGGCTTACTCCACACCCTTCTGTAGCCTTGGCCTTATGAGGTTACTTCTTGATTAATGCAACAGCCATCTGCTGCTAGAATGAGATGGTGGACATGACAAAGCAGTAGATAA